GGGGGGGGTTCTGATCAGACCCACTCACTGCACACCTAAAGAAATATATGATACCCCTCAAGTGGCTGAAGAGTACTCGTGAAAGAATGTGTTCAGACACACTAACATATGATGTGACATTTACTTCAGTGCCCTCTTCCCCGAGCCTTTTCTTCTTCCTGCTTTACTCTTACTGTCTAGCCAAACACTTTGTTTTTAAAATCATCTATTCGTCCAGTTGGATGCCCAACTACATGCATTAAAGGACAATGTAAAACATGACAAATATAATCTTTACCTTAGCATTGTCTTCGATGAGTAGTTTGTATAACATTTGTGTTCCAGTGGTCATCTGAATCTGTTCTAACGACCACCATTCCAGGGCAATTACCTGTACAAACGACCATCCCCCCCTCCCCCTTTGTTTCATTCTATATTATAATGACACTGCCAAAGATGTCCACATCAGCGGCTATGGTGTAGCGGTTAGGCACTCTGCTGTCGCACACTCGAGACCCAAGTTCGATTCTCGAGCAAGGATAATTTTTTATGGAGTATCTCAGTCTTTTTGCAATTTGGGTGTTGTATCCCTCTCAGCTCAGTCTGGCGCTGACAGGAAGAGTTGGAAGCCTACCTTCAAAATGATCTAAATTTTGTTTATGAAAACGTAAAAATACCTTCTTTAAAAAAAAGACGTCCATCTTTCTAAGACAACCATTTTTATACACAACACCGGATGGCCGTCTTGGATAATTTGGACTGTATTTAAAAGATAATTCGGTACCTATTCAGTGTCCTTGATGAGTAGTTTGCATTGGATGTGTGGACTAGTCGTTAGCTTACAATTATAGTTGTTAAGTGGATAGCTGTGCCAGCAAGCCATGTTCAAATCTGTGCAAGAGAGGATAGAAGTAAACTTAAGCCATTGAGTCCGAACTTTCTTGACCAAGTTGTTTATCCGGTTCTCCACTTTTTGTGAGGGACCACATATGGGCTGCGGTGACATAATGCGCAAAAGATTCTTTTAACTTGTTCTAAGAATGGGATGAGGAGGAGGAATTTTAGCTCTCAGATGTAGAACCCCGAATTAAGGACTATCCTCCAATGAAACTTTTCCTTCTATAACTCCTCATTAACTCGGTGTTTGTTTTGTCTCTGCAGCTGCGTAACTCCAGGGGCTCCATAATCCCACTAAATGGAAAACTCTGCATGACTGCCTCCTCTTTCACCAGGTAAGCATGATAATAATTGTATAAGCACGATAGCAAAAATGATTAGACTAATAAAGTAATAATAATGATGGTGATGATATCCGCCACCACCACCATTGATGATGAATTTGATGCTGCTGCTGATAAAACAGTAATGATAATTAATAATGATGATAATTATTATGATAATAGTAATGACAGTAATAATGATGTTAATATAATAAAAGTCATAATACATGATGATTATACTATGATAGCAGAAACAGCAACAATATTAATGATAATAGTAATGATAACAGCAGGGATAACAACAAGGATAATTATGATGACAATAATAAAGGGCATAATGATAATATCAGCTATTGTGATGAAGAAGAAGGAGGAGGAGGAGGAGGAGGGGGGGAGAGGAGGAGGAAGAGGAGGAGGAGGAGGATTGATTGTAGTAAAAGCACTTATAATTTCTCTCCCTCTTTCTTTCTCTCACTCTCTCTTTCTTTCTCTCTCTCTATCTCTCTCTCTCTCTCTCTCTCTCTCTCTCTCTCTCTCTTTC